AGCTATTCTCCATACCTCTGTACATAAAACAGACCCAGTACTGAAAATTACGCATGAGCACCCTTCTGAGCCAGCAAAAATTGAGGTTGCAAAAGCCATTATTAAAATTAAAGAGACTGCGAAGTGTTCTGGAGCTAATCCGTCGCAGATGTATGCTGAAGCAGTGTCACAATTAGACGACTACACCAGAGCAAGGATGCCTGTCGAAGAAACATTGAAACGCACAATTAGAAACTACAGAAAAAAGAAAAATCCTATCGATCCAGCTACACTAGACGAACTTGAGATTTTGGTAAGTCATCAATCCTTTGACATTTATTAACGAAATTGAAGTAGCCGGTTAAGTTTAGTTTTTATTCAAATATTAAAATAAATATAATTATAATTATAATAATTATAATATTATTATTATATTTTTCTATATAATATTTTTTATATTAATATTTTACAATTATTTATTTGTTGGGTAAAAAGCTTGATGTATACACGCAATTTTCTAATTTTGTTGTAATTCAAAATTGAATAACCGTAGACACTTGAGTTTTATATCATATGTTATTTTATCAATTCCTCAATCAATTTAAATTTTTAAATTTTTGAAACGTAGTTTCTTATGGCGCGATGTGAACGGAGGGACCCTAGCCCAGAAAAACCGTGCACACTGAAAATAAAAGCGTTAGTCGCTATCTCTCTTACTCTTTACCGATTTCTATATACTCCTATCTCTCTCGCTCTACGGCCAGCTACGTTGTTATTATATGGTTCTAGGTCACTTTGTACGGTCGAGCATTAAAAGTGCGAAACGCGGAAACTTTGTACGGTCGGGTAAAAAGGTACATTGCAGAACACGGACATTTTGTACTATTATATACGTAAAGTATATATATTATACATTTCTATTTTAATAATTACAAAGTGTCCGCGTTATACATTTTGAAATTCACTCTAATTTTTAAATGAACAGAGCTAAATGTGATCTGCTGATCTTAAAATTTGCTATATTGCAAATGTGTAAGACAGAGACAAGTAGACAACATAATATGCGGGTGCGACGTCCTCGTAATAATATTATTATTTATTATATTATTTTACGTACGCGTACTACAACAACATATTCCTCTTCCTACATCTGTAACCTATAAGACTGCCAAAGAAACTACGTTTTTACCAGGTGTCCCATGACAGCACTCACTTTTTTTTTCTATAAATATCAATAAAATTGTATTTGTTGGGCTAAAAAGCGTGAAAAATTAATACAAGGTTCCTGTTTATCGCTACAATAGCAGTTGAAAAATATTAAAAATACACAGGCACAATTTTTTTTATAAGCATATAAAGTTCAAAATTTGACAAAATACGTAAAAATTACAAAAATGTGCAAATTAGTTAGTTATATTTTAAACTTATTATTCGTGGGTACTTACTTGAATTAAATTATTTTTACTTACTATAATTAAATGTTATTACTTATTTATTTTATTAATTTATGTTTAGGGTGAGTGGTGTTCTACAGGAGAACCACATAACAAAGTACTGTTACTTGATGATAACGGGAAAGAAGCAAATGAAAGGATAGTGATGTTTGCAACATATGAAGGGCTTGTCAATTTAACAAGTTCTTCGAGATGGTATATGGATGGGAACTTTGCTTTGGCTCCAAAACTATTTACACAACTGTATGTTATACGTGTAGAAATCAATAAAAGTTTTACAACGGCGGTATATATTCTCTTACAGAATAAAACTTTGACTGCTTATGAGCAAATGCTCACTACTATTTTAAAAAAATGTGAAGAACAACATTTATTTCCTGATCCTATGGTAGTACATGTTGATTTTGAACGTGCAGTTATCACAGCCATCACACATGTTCTCGGACAACATGTACACATTCAGGGTTGTTTCTACCATTTAACTCAATCAACCTATAGGAAAATACAAGAGTTAGGGCTCCAGACACAATACAGAGAAGATCAAAAATTAATTGAATTTTGTGGAAAAATGGATGGCTTGGCATTTTTACCAGTTGGAGATGTCAAAGATGGTATGGCATATTTAAAAAATATTGTTCCTGAAGAGGCTGAAACGTTATTAAATTATTTTGATACAACATACGTTAATGGCAAATACAGGCAAGTTAGAAATGAAAATAACAGAATAGTCTTAAGAAATTGCCCACCTATTTTTCCTCCAAATTTATGGAACGTACACGACTCAACTTTAAATGATGAAGAACGCACAAACAATTCGACGGAAGGATGGAACAATAGATTTAGTAAATTGGTAGGACAAACACATCCAACAATTTGGACTATTATAGCTAAAATAAGGTAGGAAGTGGCAGCTGATGAGACAAAGCTAGCCCAAATTCAATTAGGAGTACCACAACAAAAACGACAAAAAACGGTGTACAAAAAAATACAAATCCAATTAAAAAAATTATGCGAGGATTATGATAATGGTATCCGTGATATTGAAAACTTTTTAGCTGCTATCTCCTATACAATAAGATATCGATAACTTACGATTTTTTTTATTATTTTATTATTTTTACTTTATTTGACTGTAGACTGTTTGTATTGACCATGTATTATATAATGTATTTGACTGACTTATGTTTGTATTGACAATTTTTAAAACGTGAAACTTATTTTAAATTATTACTTATATTATTGTATTGTGACAAATTTTTAAAAAGTATTTAAAATCTATAAAATGTTAATTTTTTTTAATTATTTTTACTTTATTTGACTGTAGACTGTTTGTATTGACTATGTATTTGACTGATTTATGTTTGTATTGACAATTTTTAAAACGTGAAACTTATTTTAAATTATTACTTTTATTATTGTATTGGACAAATTTTTAAAACGTATTTAAAAATTATAAAATGTAAAATTTTTTAAACAGTTTAACCTATTTGAAATTATTATTATTAATATATATTTAACAGGTAGAACACTTGGGCAGTTGGATTATTGATCAAAATTTTTAAGTAGACAATTAAAACTTAAGTTTAATGAAATATGAATTAATATAGCAAAATATAAAAATTTGGTTTTTATTTTCATGGTTTTTTTTTCTTTTGGTTTTTATTTCCGTGGTCTTTTTTTCCTTTGGTTTTTTATTTTTTGGTTTTTTTTTTTTGGTTTTTTTTTTTTGGTTTTTTTTCCTTGGTTTTTTTTTCCTTGGTTTTTTTTCCGTCTACCGATATAATATGTTAAACATATTACGTCCATGAGGTAGAAAAGAAGAAGTAGACTTACAAGAAAAACTGGTGAAGGCTGGTGATTTGTTTTAACGCATTTTTGAGTAGTTGGTGATGTTTTGATGTATATTGGCAGAGCCCTGATTTCCTGTTGATGATGAAGTATAAACTCGTTGATTATATTAGAAGTATCACTAGAGGTGTCGAGTTGGATTTCTTTGTCCTCTTCGTTAGCTAGGACAAGGATTTATTTGGCGAAACAAATGACAATTCGTTTATAAATTCTACATTGTCGAATATTTGAAGCAGATAATATAGATTCAAGACCAAACATTGCACTGTTATCAGCATGAAGTATTTCTAGTTCTGAAAGTCTAGCTTTTTTTTATTGGTTTGTTGAAAATCAATGTTGATGTGTTAGAATTCTGCTCGACTGGATTATTGCAGTTGGTTTCATCATCAAATGGCTTAGAACGAGGCTTAGAATATTGAAAAGGGCATATTAAAACATTTGGTTCATCATTATCTATTGACCTAGTAAGGGTTTCACAATTCAATTTTCTTTTTTTATTAAGTCCATCAATGGTTTTTGATCCTTTTCAAACAGTTTTAGTTTCAAATTCAAGTTGGTTTTTTAATTTCATTTATTTTGGTAATTTTTTCGTTCCATTTCCATTTTTTGTCCCTCTGATTTAACTCTTAATGGGCCTGTAGATTTTTTTTAATTGAGTTTTATCAACAATTCAAAATTTTTTATTGATTTGAATATCATTAGTAGATAAATCTGATGGACTCTTATTAATGATTGAGGTTGGTTATTGGACATTTTATTTAAAACTGCAGTATTTACAACTGGTGGTAAAGTTTTGTTTCCCTTTGACTTTTTAACAAATTGTTCCTTTGTATTTAATGTCAATTTTTTAACGTTCTTTTTTGTGTTTTTTTCCACTACGGACAAGGTCGTTTTTATCATAATTTGTATCCAATTGTTCAATATTTGATGTTCTCTTTTTCTTTGATATTTATACATTTGTATGCACATAGGCAATTTGTTTATAAATCCTACATAGTTGAATGTTTGTAGAAGTAAACTGTGTCCGGGCTCATTTTACCACCAATTCTGCAGTGTGTGGAGAGACCTTAAAATAATATGCAATACTTATATGAAACTATCATAAATAAATAAAATGTCAAAATATTCCACTACAGCTAAATTAAATAATAATAACCTAACTTGCTCACATGAACTGTAATTTAAAACTAATTTCTAATTCATTTCTTATTAATCAAAATGTTTTCAGACGCACATTACTATAAGTATGAAGAATATGAAATTACAGTTTTTATTATGTAGAAATATTGTAAAAACATATCTCATTATTAAAATTAATTATGTGCCTATCTTACTTTAAATAAATACTTAAAATGACTACCATAAGCAGATTGTGTAGCAGCAGCTGTTTGATAGGATGCTATACTCTGTACCAAATAAGAGCGCACCGCGTTGGCGCATCCAAATGAATCGCGGAGCGACGTCTGGACCCCCTGGTCGGGTCTATTCGCTCTGTGATTGGTCGCCGATCGTCGGTCGGATTCGCCGCCGTCGACGCCGCCGTGAATACAGGGAGCTGAAGTAATAATGCGTTTCACGCGTATTAATCAGTAAAATAATACACATACTTTTCGTTTTTTTTTTCTTAACATAGGTATTGAACTCAATATAATATTAAAAACATTCAAAATATTCACCAATGCGCACCAAAAATATAACAACGTCTAACCGCGTATAACGTTAAAATTGGTGTGATAATAAACAACACTCTGTATTCAGAGTTGACCTGGCCGGCGCCGGAATACGCTGCGGCAGCGCTCTCTGACATGCGCGAGTTTCGACCGGTTTTCGTGCGCCGCCCGGTGCGCTCTTATTTGGTACAGAGTATACATCATATGCAGTAGCGGCAGCTCGTGGAGTTGTATAAGTAGCCGGAGGTACGGCATATCCAGCTTGTGGGGGAGGCTGATATCCAGTAGCAGTACTGAAACAATATGTATATTATAAGGCTAGCTTAATTATTATAAATTAAATACAATAATACTGTGTTTAATTATTATTATTTATCCAGTCGATTATAGTAAGTTCCTTGTTTAATCATTTAAGCACAAATTTTCTAAAAAATATACATGAATGGGTAAAAAAAAAACATAAATTAAACCGTATGTTTATCTACTCTTGGTAAGAATAAAAAAGTAAACCACTAGTCCGAGTAAAATAATTATAGGTCACTGTGCATCTCACTGTAGGCATGGTACACATGATGATGTCAGTGACCTTAATTGTCATCAATATCCAATGATTAACGGCCAGTGATGGAACAGTGAAGTTACCAAGACATTGTTTCTGATTGGCAACTCCTCGCTCAAATCAGACTACCTACATCTGCAAAATACAAGCGAGAGTGGTTTACTCATAACCTGAATATGATATACAAAAAAATAATCAAATACAATTAAAAACCAATAATTACTCTATTAAAATAAAAAATCAATAACAACATAAGAAGTAATAGAAGAGCTGATCAGAAACTCAAAAGGTAGGGCCACAACAAATAATCAAAACCCATTAATCACAGGTTTGGCGAGAGTAACCAGATTAAACAGTAGCACGAAATAATAATATGTCAAACAAGAAAAGATGAAATCGACTAAATAATTGTTTGGCTTAACGCATATCATTACCATGGCACACGTGCAAGACGTCACACGATCGGACCAGAGAAACATTGCCAAAATGTCTTCGATCAAAAGTGTCGGCGTAAAAACCAACGTTTACCCTCGAGAAATCGATAGGGATCGAAACCGTTTTCACATTCGCCGTTCAAAACGGCTGTTTGGCAATCGGCGGGGATACAACAAACGAGGGCTGTGGTCGTGAACAAACTTACGCGTATTGGGTGCCACCGTGTGTGAACCCGAAATAGTTGTTGGCGGCCATTGGGGTTGAATCGATTTCACTGACGACCGAATCGCCGGGCAAGTACCGGAATAGGCGGCGGCGGCGGCGGTTGCGACGCAAACAGCAGCGGTTCAGCAGCAGCAAGAGCAGTGCATCACCGGCGACCGTGTCTGTGTACTTGACACGCTGTTTGAAAAACGATGGCGGATGGTTGACGTTTGAATGACAGATCAGACGACGGTCAGTCGGCGGAACGGCAACGGGAAATCTCAGCGGCACGATCACTCGTCGGCAACCGACATAAAATGGCGTCACGTTTAGTCGTCTGGCACACGAGCGGATCAAAACACGAGCGTCTAGAGCAAACGTCTATTATTACTCTGAGTTTGAATGTTTGAAACGATTACACCGGCCAAGCGCATGCGCGAAGATTCCGCGGAACCGCGTCGCACTGCGCCATCTACGTTTTCCCATCGGGTTTCGCGTTTCTTTTCGTGACTACACTCTAGTCCTCTAGATCCCGTTTATAATATTAATATGGATTATAATATTATCATTTTTTCAATATTTTACGACAATACTAAACTACTAGGCACTAGGCAGTGGCGTCCGCAGGGGGGGGGGGGCTAAAGGGCTAAAGCCCCCCCCCCCTATTAGCCGTATTATTATTACTTTTTCAAAAAAATATTAATCAAGTTAAACTCTCAACTATAGTGAGCAAGAAGTAAATTGCATATATGTCTTGCCAGAATGAATTCATTTTTGAAAGAACATTGTATTTGCATACCAATTTTCATAAATTATCTGTAATTTTTCGGTAAAAGTATGAACTATTTGTATGAAAGACCTTGTATTAAATTGTCTAGCCTTAGCTATAGACATTTAATATTTTATAAGTTTTGAGCAACAAATTAACTGTGGTTTTGACGAAATTTGAACTTTAAATGTTTATAAAAAATAAGTATGATACCTGTATCGTTAATATTTTATTGACATTTATAGAAAACAAAAATTTAATTATTCAAATACAATCCATGTGAAGACGGTATAACCAAACATTTAAATAAATTTTCATTTTTTTTCTCAAATTATTTTTAAAAGCACTGAGCATTTTCAATTTCAACCTCCTAATAGTACCAACTAGATCCAATTTGCTTCCAAAAACATACACTGAGCATCGGAGCTTATATGATCAGAGCATTTTTTCTACCAGAAAAGTTGAAAAGTTACAAACATTTTAGAATACCTCAAATAAACGTCTGAAATTATTAGACTGGACAAAATGAAAAGAAAATTGTAACTAATTTTCAAGCCCTCCCATTGAAAAATGCTGCGGACGCCACTGCTACTAGGTATAACTACCATAAAAGCTAACCACGCAAGGTTAGTAAGTGTTGCGTTAATTTGTTATGTTACACGTAGGCCAGAAAAAGAAAAAAAATAGTGCACTGACATCCTCTTAAGCTCGCGGTTCACACGATCAAAAAATAATTTGTCAAATATTTGATAGTGTGAACGGGGCTTTAATAACAACAGGAAATATTATCGTAATAATTAGTTAATATTATATAATATACTTACAATTTGTTTTACCTAGGGGAGAGTGGGGTAAGTTGACGCACCGGGTAAGATGATGAATTCAAATTTAAAATGATAAAATGATATCTAGAAGTGTATAACCGAACAAATAACATATGTTTAGTAGTGATAATTTAATATTTTGAGTTTTTTAGCTAAAGATTGCAAATTTAAAACAAAGGTTCTCATAAATAGTTCATACTGTAACCAAAAAATCTAAAAAATATATGAACACAGTTATTTTTTACAGACATTTTAAATTCAAATTTGGACGAAATTACATATTAAAATCAATATTAACGATCTTTGTTTTTGTTGTAATTTAAAAATATTATTCGGGGATATATGAAACTGAAAAATCAAAATATTATGGCCTATCCATACAATCTACCATAGTTTAAGAAATGAGAATTATGCTCATGATAAGACTGTGCATATTTTTAAGGAATTTATTCATAAATTCCATATGATTTAATACTATTGATAAGTATATAATATGTCTTATACCTAGACTGGCATACCGTCTCCGCTCAGAATCGTTTTTCTTATACAATGATATGATATCATTGAATTCCAATTTAATACCATCCATTATACAGTGACCCACTTGTAACCTACTGTATCTACCTTTTTTTTTTTAATTTAAATACATAGGTGGATAGAAGAGTAGGTACCTACAAAGCAAAAATGATTATCACATTTTTTTCATAATGAACACTTCTTATTAAGCTATCGGTTTGTGTTATAAGTTTCATAAAAACACAATTTAATAAATACATTTAAAAAAATAATCAATTTGTCTAATCAGCTTATCTTTAAGCTTTTCAAAAAAAAATCATTTTGTTATAATATATATAAGCCTCCTTTATAATTTATGATTATTATGATTGGTCATCTGATATATTATATTGGGTTAGAAGTTAGAACCTAATCATCAAAACCTTATGTCCAATATGAGAATAATACTTTAGCCATGTACCATCAATCAATATTTGCATCAATACGGCTTACTGAGTGATAGTGATCTACCTACTGTAGGTAATCTTAATTTCTAATTAACCCATTAACACCAAAGAATAATTAATATGTAATGTGAAAAATGAAAAATGATAAGGTATTTAGGGTAAAATCAAAATTATTTTTAACACACTGCTTGGGACCCTGTTGCAGCATTTTCAAGTTCAGCCACGGTAGAGCACTATTATATGTAGAGCCATCTTAGCCATCTAGAGCCATCATAGAAGATATCTTCTATACCGTAATGGTTCAGTTTCAATATTTTCAATAGTTTACTCATTACCTACTGATAGGAACATTTTCAGTGTTCAAAAAATTTGAACTGCTGTGGTTGTCTTGATTACTTGGTGAACCAGAGGTGTCAAAACATGAACAATGACAGCATGTTCCACCAGTTGTGTATCCAGAATTTTTTTTCGGGAGGGGTTATAATTTATTTTTGTCGAATTTTATCTGAAAACGTTTTATTAATGATAACGTTGTTATAATTTAACAATTTTCGAGGGGAACCCAACTGTGGCCACCATACTTTTGATTTCATTCACTGTTTGTACAAATAATGTTTAATATCAAACTTGATATTAGTCAAAGATGTTTTTGTATAATCATAATATTCTGTAAAATAAAGTTACAATATTATTGACTAAGAAAAATAACACTTTTACACTTGATGTTATATATGTATTTATTATAGCAGATTATTAAAATAACAAAGTATGACTTACGTTTAAACTCATGAGCAATATGAGACATTTCATTTAAACATAAATCAGTATCAGCATTCAACAACTTCTCTGCCTTTTACCATCATATCCTCTTCCATAGAATCTAAAATACAATTAAATGTAGAAAGTAAAACCTTTATTAATATTAAATTCCCCCAAAAAATTATAATGCTAATAATATATAATATATTATTTTTTTACCTAATAAATAAAATTGTATTATAAATTTATACTTTGTAACTAAAATTGTATTATAAATAGGTACATATAACTCTATATTGGTGTTAAAAGACATATCTAAAAGTTAAAACTATAAAAATATCAAAATATAGAAAAACCATTTTATAAAAACATAATATTTTGTACTTAGCTTGGAAATGTAAAATTATATAATAAAATTAAACACATGTTTAAATAAATGTTACGCAAAAGATTTTATGTTGTAAACCTGAATCATACTACAATTGAAATAAGCATCCATTTGTATTTCTACATTTTGATCTGGTGAAGAATATGTTTAATTTTTCTAAAATAAATTATTATTTAAATATCAATAAAAATTATTTTGCTTGTAATATTACAAAACAAAATTTTTTTGACATTTTTTATATAATATATATAACAACTTTATTAATATAAATATATAAATATAGCAGACTGCTTACATAATAATTTTAAATAAATTGTACAGTAATAGCTAAAATCGTTACCTATTTTTCATTAAAATACCTATACAATTTCGTCAAAATTAGAACTTAAAAAATAGAATGTGTAAAAAATAAAAATAAAAATGCACTTTTGAAGAAAGCATTGGTTATTAGGATAATAGGATACAGACTACGATACAGTATGCACTTGAAACACGTTTTTGGAAATCATATATAGACAACAGACATATTATAATAGTTGCACAGTGCAGGTGGCCTTACACGATCATTAATAATTATAATTGAAACGATTTTATCCATTATTTATCTTACTGTATGGTATGTGGCCGATGTTTAAAACAATTCCCGATGCTATTTTTATACAACATAAACACATATTATAATGGTGCAATGGCTCGGTGTACAAAATAATGCTGTACCCTCGGTACTCGGGTTCTCAAGTCTTATACCATTATATACCATTTGTTCGACGGTCTTCTCAAAATATACACGATGATACGAAGCATGAGGCAGAACGATTTGTTTAAAAATTAAAATTTATCTGAAATACTCCAGACATTCCAGATGGGCTCTACTTTACATCTTCTGTCCGTACGTAACGTTATATTAATAAACAAATGCGAATTCAAATTTTATTTCGAAATTATATTGTTCTTTAATGCAGCGGTTCCCAACCTTTTATAAGCGTGACCCCAATATTTTAAATTTAACTTTTGGCGACCCCAAAAAAAAAAAATTCATAATTTATTGTAAACTCAACATTATTTTATTTATTATCATCAAATTGGTAAATATGTATACTTGTTGATTTATCTACCTATATTCTATTCTGAAATACTTGTATAAAATGTATTATAAAAATTAATTTATTAATTTTTTCAAATGTAGGTAATATGGAATTAATTTATTATGAGTAAAGACCGGATTTTTGTGCAGCTAAAATCTAAAAAATGTGCAATTAAAATGTTAGAATGTGCAAAAACATGCAAAAACAAAATTTTCATTATAGGTACTTCAAATTTTAGTTTGAATAAGTAATAACTAATAACTA